ACTGCTTGTCAATTAATATTTTAACTCAGAACAGCTCTCTTGGAACTATAATTTGGTTTTCAATTTATTACTACCTGAAATAAATTTTTACTTAAAACTACTGTTTGTTTCTAATGTGATAACTATTTTGTAAATAATTGAATAAAATAATGATTTTTGTTAGAAAATCAATAAATTTAAAATGTCTTTACTGAATTAAGTAAGAGTCCCAAGACTTTCTGTGAGCACTGTAATTGTTAATCTATGCTCTAAGCCATGGAGCACATGATGCCTTAGCTGTGGAGCAATCTCATTGGTACATAGGAGCTTTTTTTATGTTGTAGCAATACTTCTGTAAGCTTAAGAAGGATTTCTAGAGTATTCTCTATTGCATTCTTTTGACCTTAAACCGATATCCTAGTATTATACCTCATGAACATTGGAGTCGGTCCCTCCACATGCAAATGAACGCCACATCTGTATATATCTGCTCCTGGCAACAAAATGTATAAACTATTTGCTCCAGGTAGTACTATAACCTTAGATAATGCCTGTATAACGCACAAGGAATGCCAAACGGTGCCATGTAACCAAAATATGGGAGCAAGAGTTGGGGACTTTATTTTGGTGCAGTGAAGAGCAGACCAAAATACTTGAATCTGGACTTTTAAAAAAAGGGCGAAGCAGGTAACGCTACTGTGAAATAACGAATGCTTTCAGTTGCTCTTTTTGCCAAGCCATTACTAACAATTCAGAAGACTTAGGAAGCATTTTAAGGCTTCTAGTGATATGTATGCAAAACCGCTGACACATTTAAGCTAATAATAAGACTAATGCAGAAATGGGCACTCAGTATTTTATGAAACAGAACAAGGACTTCAAACACCATTCTTCATGTCTTTGAATTACATCACACCCAAAACTTGCAGGTTTCCTCATGACATAATCCAGAAAAAAAGTTGACAAATTCAATTGAAACTTTGTATGCAAATTTAAGAAAAAGCATTAAAAGGCATCATACATATTCAAATAAGTACGGATTAAACTACATGTTTAGTTAAATTCCCATTGCACATGTGATCTTAACTGCTGGTATAATTATGGACTTCCTTGATATCCCTCAGCAATTTGATATAATTTGAAGGCATTTATAATGTGTCCGTGATACAGCTCTATCTGTAAACATCATGGCATCCTCGCGTTTGGAAGTCAGCAGATGCATCACATGCCACCAGTGAGCTGACCTTTCCAGTCTGGATGCATTTTTGCTATCTTGCCAAGCCTCTTTCTTAAGGGTTCTCCTCGGTTTTCAGATTAACCGATTTTTTTTCTTAACATTGTTGCACAAATGTAAAAATTTCTGAACAAAACAATATCAAAATTTAATAATAACAAAAAAAAACAACCTGAAAGTCACCTTAAAGTTTCTTTCATACCCAGTGCTTATCAAACTACTATTGTCCTTCCATTTTGTAAATGCTGCTACCTAAAGTGATACCAGTGACACACAATTTCACGCAGAGGCGCTTGTACTTTTTTGAACTTGCTTATCGAGGTTTTAATAGTGGCATCACATGTCAGAAGCCATGTTTACATTCTCACACTTCAGATCTATTTAGATGAGGAAAAAAAGCCACCTCTGATCATCAAGTGTAGTCAAGGCAAGTCACTATACTGTCATTTCGCACGCGAAACAGAATCGTGATTTTACCATAGATGTTAAACTGAGGGTGCAATTGCTCCCCCTAATGGTCAGATGAAAATGATATTTGAACGTATTAAGCTCAATAAAGTTTAATTATATTGAAAAGTTACACCTGAAAGTGTGGCTTGTGTCATATCGATGTGTATCTAGCGGGACAGTATCAAAGACACGGGAGATGTAATGTTAGTCTTGTATCTTTGCACCGTTTTCTTCTATTAAGCTACTTGGCGCATAGACAGGAAATGAAAGCTGGGTACTGGAAAGTCTCAACGTAGGAACAGTCCATTACAGCCAGCACAGGGGCAACTGCATCTGTCCCGAAAACTGTTGTAAAAATGGAAATAACAGACACATTGCTGTAATTGAAATAATTATATTATCTTATATCGATAAATGTAACTTCCAGAAATTCTGTCTTCCTGGGGCCTCTAGATTTCGGGGGTCCCAGGCAGCTGTCTACATTTGTCGTACAGTATGTCTGCACCTGATTATTCCTCATAGTTTTCCTGAGAGGAGAGAAGGGCAAATATAGGCCATAAACTATCCTCTTACCTAAATTTAATAAAAGCGATCACGCTTTTCATTGGGCCAAAGTAATCTACCTGATGGTTACTCCAGAAATCACTCAGATACTGCTGGGCATCAAGCCGAGATATCAGTCCTGTCTGTCCACTTCTAGGAATTTTTGAAAGTCCATCACCAGAACATTTTACATGGCGGGAAAACATAATTACATTAGTAATTTAATGAACTTATGACTGTCATGACTATATATAGTGAGCTCCATGTGCATTTATAAGATTACAGGATATACACCTGCTCATTGGCATAATGCATCCATCTGATTTCTCCACATAAGAAAAAACTTTTTTTTCCTTTCTCCCAATATAAAGGTACAATATTCTCGTCCACTCATGCATTTTCCAAACTGCTTGTCCTGGACAGGGTCTCCAGGGCTTGGCTGCATGGGGCAAAAGGCAGAGTCATTGGCCATTTTACCAGGCGTGAAATGCTATTAGAACATATTAAGTACAATAGAATTTAATTACAGTGTAGAGTTAAATTTGAAAATGTGGCTTGTGTTAGCCATATCAATCTGTTAATAATACTTTGTTTTAAATGTATGCACTAATATGTTTTTTTCAAATTCATTTACCTGGGTTCTTTCCTCTTGCACCCACTGGGAGAAGTCTAGAGTCACCTATGGGCAGGAGTACATTCTCAATGCCAGTCCATCATAGAGCGCACACACACACACACACACACACACACACACATGCACACACACACACACGTGCGCACACACACACACACCCACATACAGACTATGCATCTAAATACTATGACAACCTTAATCATAAATAAGCAAACAAAATACACCACTTCAGGCTTTTTTAGTTTTTTGATTGCATTCACAGATTTTTTTTTTATTTAATAAAACTGAGTTTCCCCTTGTGGGGACTGAAAGAATGTCTTCACAAGGTCAAAATACACACGCTGTGATCATGCAAAATCCACACACACAGAACAGAAGCAACAGTTCTGCTCAAAGCTCAGTTAAATAGGTAATGAAAAGCTGATTTGTTTACATCAAATGCCCAACTTAACTGAGAACCTCAAGCAAGCAGAAGTAATTAGTGGCTTGATGGAGCACTCTCTGCATCTGCTTCAGCAGTGTCAGCCAGCTTCAGTCCTCCAGGGCCGTGGGACGTATTGGGTTTTCACTCTAACTCACATGTTAATTGCATTACACTGAAGGAATTATCTGGATAATAAGTCACCTCGATTTGCATGTCAGATGTGAAGCAGACACTAATGAAACACATTCTTGGGGGACTCAGGGTATCCATACATAACATTAATCTTTAGATAGTGTCACTTTGAATTTTTTCAGTGTTGGCTGTTTCATGATTTAAATGGGAAATTTATATAGAGTAAACTCTACATCAGCTTCAAACCCAGCATAGTGTTTTTTTTTTTTATATAAACAGATAAATGACACATTGATTGACACAGTATATGGTGTTGAATCAAGGATTACATCTGTTGAAACAGAGATTTACTGAGCTTGTGACTGTGTAAACTTTGAATAGGATCACAGAAAACTTCTCATATCATTTAAACCAGACTGAAGCCTGAAGGCCCACTGGATGGGCCGTACTTTCATGCATCACATTACCTAATTTCATATGTATGCTCAATGCACTACTGGCAGTGTTGGCCATGTGACTATATAACTGTAAATGAACCGTCATCACTCTAGATGTAAGACTATAGTGATAGATAAATTATCTTCAGCTGGAAATTAAATGTATGGTATAATTTTCAAAAATGTATAAAACAACAATAATAGTATTGTATTTCCATCCATCCATCCATCCATCCCTCCATCCATCCATCCATCACAGCTTATCTAGTGTTCTCTTAACGCATAAACCAGGAAATTAACCACAGATCTATCCATGCACCAACAAGTGATCTTTCGAAATGCTTAGCGTAATGTTATGTACATTATCCTACTTCTGAAAAACCCTTCAGTTGTTCTACTGTCCACCACCAGGGGTCGGGAAAGCTCCACGTTGAGGTCTGCATTCACGTGTTCTTCCATTTATGACAGCTTAAACGAGATTTGGAATATCGTCTGAGCTCATGCCTCGACTGTAGATTTTTCACGGTCTGAATTTTATCGATTATTTATTTAATTGCTTAAATAATAATAATGTATTGTTTCTTTATTATTTACATGCTTCATAATAGCCTATCAGAAAAGTTAAAAAAAAAGCAGTAATAGTAATTTTTCATTTAAAAATCCAGAATCCCTCAATGTTTATTTACTTAATCATGCAGGGTCAGTGCCACTGAATGCATGAACATAAATTTAACAGCACATATTATATAATCCTTCAACACTTTGTCATTAGGTCAGGTAGCTCATGAAAATTCAAAGCTGGCACTGCAGTACCAATGTGTCTGATCCACTATAATTTTATTCGGCCTTTTAAAGATATGGTGAATATAAAGACATACAAAGAAATGCAGCTATGTACTAATATTATGCTTATAATGCACATCTTTGGCATCATTAGTTAAGTAGCATTGCTGTCCATCCTTAGACTTCCAGGTGTGATTTCAGGACAGCGTTCTGATTCCTCAGAGAACACTGATTTATTCCCAGATGACCATGACTTAACATTCAGGAAAATTGTTGACTGTCCTAACTGGGTATTTTTTAATGGTTAAGTATATTTTGGACAGATGTTTGACAGGTATTTGCAGCACATAGTTCTATGAAGCATTTAAGAGTCTTCTGCAGCTTGATATGTAAATATGTATAATATACTCACTGCCCACTTCATTAGGAACACCTATACACCAGCTCATGCCTACAAATATCCAATGAACCAATCATGTGACCGGAGAACAATGTATAAAACCATACAGACACAGGAAAAGAGCTACAGTTAATGGTCAAATAAAACATCATAATGGGGAATAAATAAAATCGAAGTGACTGCCCATAAGGAAGGCAAATAAGTTACTACAGACCTTGAACAAAGTCATCACAAAGGCCAGCTCCTTCACAGGACTGACCCTGAACAAACTCATGAGGAAGGCCAGGTCCATCACAGGACTGACCCTGAACAAACTCATCAGGAAGGCCAGGTCCATCACAGGACTGACCCTGAACAAACTCATCAGGAAGGCCAGCTCCATCACAGGACTGACCCTGAACAAACTCATCAGGAAGGCCAGCTCCATCACAGGACTGACCCTGAGCACATTCATCAGGAAGGCCAGCTCCATCACAGGACTGACCCTGAGCAAACTCATCAGGAAGGCCAGCTCTGTCACAGGACTGACCCTGAACAAACACATCAGGAAGGCCAGGTCCATCACAGGACTGACGCTGAACCAACTCACCAGGAGGGCCAGGTCCATCACAGGACTGACCCTGAGCAAACTCATCAGGAAGGCCAGGTCCATCACAGGACTGACCCTGAGCAAACTCATCAGGAAGGCCAGGTCCATCACAGGACTGACGCTGAACCAACTCACCAGGAAGGACAGGTCCATCACAGGACTGACCCTGAACAAACTCACCAGGAAGGCCAGCTCTGCCACAGGACTGACCCTGAACAAACACATCAGGAAGGCCAGCTCCATCACAGGACTGACCCTGAACAAACTCACCAGGAAGGCCAGGTCCATCACAGGACTGACCCTGAACAAACTCACCAGGAAGGCCAGGTCCATCACAGGACTGACCCTGAACAAACACATCAGGAAGGCCGGCTCTTTCACAGGATTGACCCTGAACAAACTCACCAGGAAGGCCGGCTCCGTAACAAGACGGACCCTGAACAAACTCATCAGGAAGGCCAGCTCCATCACAGGATGTACCCTGGAGACAGAGGATGCTGGCAAAATGGAACAACTCTGCCCATCCCTTCCATGGCACAATGTTTTGGAGCATTACACCACGGTACACTAAGAAGCACTACTGAGGATTCTTCCCACTTGCTGCCAGCAGGCGTTACAACACTTTCTAACTATGTGTCTGGTCAGGGTCACAGAACTAGTCTAGGGTACACCCTAGACAGGAGGCCGGTCTTTCACAGGGCACACACAATGGGCAACTTGGAGGCACCAGCAAACTGAATTGTATGTACCTAGGTGAAACCTGCGGCCTGTACTACGTAGTGGGTAAGTGGGGCGCAGACTACCTTAAATCCAACAAGTTACCCTGACAAGGCAACAGTGTTACACGACACCATGCCATATTATCATTACTCTCACTATCACTACACTTATTTACTTCCTGACATAGATAAGTAGGATGGATGGATTATACACCTACCTGTCATTTACTATTGCCCTTTGCCTTGAGTTTTGTAGCTAGAACATGCTCTTGTGTTGCTTTCCAGGAAAGGTATTATGGTAACACTTTTTATGAGTGCCATGTCTATAACAACTTTTGAACACATTCAAAACACACAATACTCCATCCATAAAGCATTATAAGCATGAATAGAAATATGTATAAAATTACATTACACAATGTAGCCATGTTTATTATGCATTATGAATGCTTTGTGAAGTTCTCATTTATAGTGCATTACAGATACATTCTAATGCAGTACAAAGCATCCTTAATGTTTTTTTTACTGACCCTTATGACACATTATGAGGGCATCTATTCTGCATTATAGATGAGAGCTTCATTGTTCATTGGGGCTTATGAAGTATTATGACCAACACTATAATGCCTTTATTATATATATATATATATATATATATATATATATATATATATATATATATACACACACACACACACACACACACACACCATAAATATATGTACACATTAAATGCCTGTAAATATAAGGATTCTCATATTCTCATACCGACCATTATAGTGCATTATATCCATCCATCCACCTTCCATACCTTCTTGTCCTATGCAGGGTCGCAGGGGTCTGGAGCTTATCCCGGGAGGTATGGGCACATGGCAGGGAATAACACAGGATGATGTGCCAAATATGGAAGATCCTGTCTGAAGATGTAAAATGGCATCAGATGCAACTCTGAGAATACTAGCTGTTTTCACTGCCTGAGAAGCGATCAATGCAGAAGCCTTGAAAACACTTGAAGTGTTAAGTTTGGCTTCTTGTAAATTTTTAATAGTAGTATTTCAGTTTTTGCAGGTCAATTCCAGAAATATTTGGGAAGCTCTCAGACTACCCATGACAGCAGCTTCTGTTATCAGCTTCACACTGTTTATAAATCTCCTTTCATAATTCATGGATAGAAGCATCAGTGACATTCCTTAAAGCTCCACACCGGCAGTATGAAAAACAGTTTTAGCCCTTCATTGCTTTGTAATGTGTTTATAACTCTAGAAATATACACAATAAAATATATTCTTGTAAAAAGTTAAACAGTACTGACTGCAGACTTTGTCCTTTATTTTTTGCAGCCTCCCTTTCATTCAGCAGAAATTTTTGCACATAGAATCACTTTCTAATTGTCACAAAACAGAAGATGTTAAACCATTTATATGGCAAATACATTCTACTGATTTTCCTTATTTTATTCATTTTTGATTAAAGTTTAGAGAACACCAACCACTTCTTGGAATTTCACTTGTGTAATAAAACACTATTAGGACAGAGTGGCACATTGGCTGAATGGGTAGCAGTGCTGTTGGGCACCTCCAAGGTTGGGGGATTGGATCTGATCCCTTTTTGTTTGTATGATCTGTTCGAATGTTTATATGTTTCTTTCTGCAGCAGAAACACTTGCAGTTATTTGAATTGGCTACTCTAAATTGCCCATAGTGTGTGATTGTTTGTGTGTGCTTTGCGCCCTGTGCTTCCTGGAATAGGCTCCAGGCTCACTCTGACCCTGTACTGGATAAGCAGTTGGAAGATGGGTCTGTATCAGTGTTTCCTAATCCGGTCCTCGGGGATGCACAGACAGTCCATGTTTTTGCTCCAACTCAGCTCCCAGCAGGGAACAAGGAGGGAGCAAAGATGTGGACTGTCTGGCAGGGAGCTTGGAGGGAGCAAAAACATGGACCGGCTGTTGGTCCTCAGGGACTGGATTGGGAAATACTGTTCTGTATTATTGACAATGCTTAAGCTTTTGAGCCCCAGCAGTGAATGTCTCATACAGTCAGGCTCAACTACTCTGTTCTTTCAGAAGTTGGGAATCAGAATCACAACAAAGCAAACATATTTAGCATGGTATTTACCGGATATCGCATTCAGCCTTTGATCAAGGATGAAGTCTATCACAGTGAAAAACTGACAGGGAAGGGTAGCTTAAATGCTAGTCTTGTTTTGGTAGCATGTTGAGAGTTATTTATATGCCCGAGTTGCTTAACAGTTTACAGAAATGAATCACAAAAAGAACAGTAAAGACCCTATTCAGTGAGATGATGTATTGCCAATTAATAGCATTGGTATGTTTGATGCTAAAATACCATCTGAGATTTCATCATATTCTATAGATTTTAATACCTGAATGAGCATGTGACATTGGTCATGTGACAGCGCCAAGGTGAAACCATTCGGAAGCAGTTAGAAGACAAAATGAATTGAAAACCAGCCTGTTGTGTTTTGTTAGCCTTTTGGCAACACATTAAGTGGAACAGAATTAAAAAATGAATAATTCTCTTGTTAATAACTGACCAAATCTTCCATAACAAAATATGCAAGCCACAAATTTTAATATTTATTAAAATCAACATAGGTGCTGTTAAAGTATTATTATTATTTAATTTGGCTAATACCTTCATCCGAGTGAATTATAATTTCCATGCTCAGATGGAAGTTACTGGCCCGGGAATTCCGCTAACTGTTTAGCATACCTGGTTAAGCTATTTCATTTGTGAATGGCTGGTATGGGGCTGTACCACCTTGTCGCAGTTTTCATCTTCAGCCGTTTATTGAACCTGCTAATAAGCTTGCTATACAATAGCAAACACTTCTTTCTTCCAGCTTCCTGTTTGCCCCTTTCCTCTTTTTAATCCAATCAATATTCTCTAACCTCAGATAGGCAAACAAATACATACATCCCAATTGGCAGATTAAGAATGATATTAAGATATGAATAAGTAAATAACCAAAGTAAATTAAATAATTTGTACTAAAATAATTTTACATACCAAGACCATTAACAGCTTAAATTTATAGCTTAAGTGTATTTTGGCCTAGAAAGACACCATTTTTACACAAGAAATGTTGTGTTTTGTTCGTGAAGGTGGACAAAACTGTGACAAGAACAAGTAGTAAGGCTGGGATATTAATGGAGTTCTGTTTTCATTGTCCACATGCTCATTAAATCTTTTGGTGACCATTTATGCCCTGTAAAAGGGGACATTGTCATCTTGAAATGTCCAGCACCCATAAAGTTAGAAACATTTCAGTATAAGATGAGCATGATTACTCAGAATGGCAATGAATGTGTTGCTATATGCCTTCTCTCTAAGGTGCTGAATGGAGGAGAATATACCCCACATCAAAACATAACTAGCAGAACTCTTTTTGAGAAAATGAATGAAGGATGACTCATCAGATGGTGACTCACAGCGTCCAGCATTGCACTGCCTGCCTTCTCTGCACCACTAAATGTGCAAGAGGATATTCTGAAGCAAAGTGATATTGTTGGGACTTTCGCATCAGCATCACTCTAGCCACTGTTTCTTGTTAAACAGATGCAAGTTGTTGAGTCATAAGGTCTCCTAGCCAGGACAGTAAAAACTACGAACACATCAGTTCAGCACCTTTCATATATCATTGTAGGATGTTCATTTTTTAAGTAGACAGGAACTTCTCACATGTGGGGGGGTTGGTAATCTTTATAACAAAAATGTGGTTGGCAGACCAGTAGGAGGCAGTGTTCCCCCTGGACCAATTAAAAAACAATAGATAGCAAGTTGTATTGCTGAGGGTGCTGTCCTCCAGATGCCAAAGATGTTTGTTACCTTTTACTATAATTGGGTTTAAAATTAACCCTAAGTTGACACATTCATTGTGGTCATGGTCAGGACAACAGCAAAACGCGTTATTCTGAGAAAGCAGTAATACAAGATCATCCCAAGATGGCCTTATGCATCAATTTTGTTTGCCTTTTATAATGGTTATATAAATATCCTATTCTGATGTACATGTGGAAAACACAAGATCCTATTTGCACAGAAGTGAATGTTTACCTCATATTATACACTATATGGACAAAAGTATTGGAACAACCCTCTTAATCATTGAATTCAGATGTTTCATTCAGACCCATTGCCACAAGTGTATAAAATAAACCTAACCATGCAGTCAGATTTACAAAAACTTGTGAAAGAATGAGTCATTCTGAAGTGCTCAGTGAATTCAGTCGTGGTGCTGTCACAGGATGCCACCTTTACAATAAATCAGTTCGTGAAATTTCTTCCCTACTAGATTTTGCACGGTCAACTGTAAGTGGTATTATTGCAAAGTGGGAGCGTTTAGGAGCTGAAACTGAGCCAGTGGAAGTGAGAGACCATGTAAATTAGCATAGCGGTGTCATAGTGTGTAAAAGTCGCCGATGCTCTGTTGACTCAATAACTGCAGAGTTCTAAACTTCCTTTGCACTTACCCCAGCATACATACTGTGTGCTGGGAGCTTCATGGAACGGGCTTCCATGGCCAAGCAGCTGCATGCAGGCCTCGCATCACCAAGCGCAATGCCAAGCGTCAGATGGAGTGGTGTAAACCATGCCGCCACTGGACTCTGGAGCACTGGAAACGTGTTCTGTGGAGTGACGAGTCATGCATCTCTGTCTGGCAGTCTGATGGACGACTCTGGGTTTGGCAGTTGCCAGGGGAAAGGTACCCACCTGACCACACTGTGCCAACTGTAAAGTTTGGTGAAGGAGGGGTTGAGTTAGGCCCCTTAGTTCCGGTGAAGGGAACATGTCATGCTTCAGCATACCAGGGCATTTTGGACAATTCTGTGCTTCTAACTTTGAATGAACAGTTTGGTGAAGGTCCTTTTCTGTTACAGCATGATTCTGCCGCAGTGCACAAAGCAAGGTCCATAAAGACAGGGTTAGGTGAGTTTGGTGTGGAAGAACTTGACTGGCCCCACAGAGCCTTGACCTCAACCCCACTGAACACTTTGAGATGAACTAGAATGGATATTGCAAGCAAGGTCTTCATGTCCAACATCAGTGCCTGACCTCACAAATGCTTCTGGGTGAATGGACAAAAATTCCAACAGACATACTCCATAATCGTCTGGAAAGCCTTCCCCAAAGAGTGGCAGCTGTTATACCAACTGCTTATTAATGCCTATGGATTTAGAATGGGATGTCATAGAAGTTCCTGTAGGTGTAACCACCGGATGTCCCAATACTTTTATCCACATAGTGTCCGTTATGTAATATGCTACCCACATATTTTACATATTGAAAGAGAACACATTGTTATAAAAAGCAGAGAAAGGTGGACATATTTAGAGAATTACTATCCAAATCATTTGGTTTTTATATATTTCTCATTTAGCAATTGTTCCTTGTCGTTGTTGTTGTTAATATCTTTCTTGAAGACACATTAAGGATTACATGCTGTCCAACATGGTTGCTCTAGATTTTCTGGATGCTGAGGTTAAGCTGTGTACAGTGTTTACATGCTTTGGCTCACACCATCTTGGATACAGATTCCAATCTAGCATCTATGACATGTCACTGTGATGTTTATTACACCATGGCAACTTGGTATGACTAAAACAATAATTATTTTAAATTAATTAAACAAAATCTTCACACTGTTCTGTACTCTATATATGGGTAAAAAAAATACCAAGCTGATTTATATTCACATACAATAATTAATCATTTTGGTTACATAATTGCTATTTATATCAATTGCAATTAGGATATAATAATTATATAAAGTAGCAACATCAATAGCCATATGACTGCTGTATTTTATTGCTGTCTTGTTAATAATACTTCATCCTGCCATCACGCTTATGTAAATTCCATTTTGTACACATATATATGCAGGTCCTCAGAGG